TGGCATGGACGGGTGGGAATCAGTTCTCAGGCTGGAATGGGTATGAGGGGACGATGGAGGTCAGGGCATCTGTCCCCGACACTGCCCAGACAGCCCACAAGTGGGCAGAGTGCTGTGCATGTCCTGGTACGTCCCCAAGGGGCTGCCTCCATTCCATTCCTGGGGACCCCCCACATTGGCAAGCTTCCTGACCTTGCAGAGTGTGCCTTAACTACTAATCCAGTCAGCCAACAAGGGTTTCTGGGGATGGTCACGCTCAGACGCCTGGGCAGGTGCATTGGCCCGAGGCTGCACTGCTGCTTCATACGGGTGGCCACCCGGCTGGGGCAGGAGAGTTGGCCTGGCCTCCATGCAGGGAATGCTGTGGAGAGATGAACACTGGCCTCGCAGGATGCAGAGAGGCTCACACAGAACTCTTTAGCCAACTTCTGCCCAGAGGGACCTCCAGTCCTCCAGGTCAGGGTTAGTTCCAACTCCTGGAGGCTTCCAGCTTGCTCCTTGGGTGGGGCCCTGCCCCAGGCAGGGGGACCAGAGGCCCTGGGACCCTGACCCACCAGGGAATAGGCCTGGCTCCTGAGGCAGGGTTATCAGGCTGGCAGCCCAGCCTGGTGCACCTCTGCACAGGGCCCAGCTTCCCCTGCTGAGGCTTAGCCCCCAGCCCAGGCTGCACCCTGTCTACCCCAAGCCTTGCAGCCTTGGCCGAGGTCCTGGGCTCATCTGCTGGCCCCTGTGCTGGCTCTCCTGGTGGGTGCCTGGGGGGGCTTGCGGGGATATGGTGGGGCAAGTTGGCCCCTCTGCGTGGCTGTGCCTGCCAGAGCTGTCCTTCAAGGGAAGCGGCCAACCCGGTGTGTGATGGTGGTAGGTGTGGTGCATACCACAGGACGAGTTAAAGGAGTTAAAGTGAGCTCTACATGACGTTGGTGTACTTCCCGTGCTGGGCCTGTGCTCTCCCTCTGCCTCAGCTGCACGTCGCAGGGGCGGGTCCCAGGTGGTCTGTGGCAGAGCAGGCGTGGGCTTGGCCCTTGGCCCCTCACGTGGACGGCCTATGTGGTCCCTCTACTCATCTGTTGATGGACATTCAAGCTGTTTCCGCCTATGGCTGTTGCAGTGGGTGCTGTGGACATGCAACCATGGAGGATGCCAAGTTCTGACCTGGCCTCAGGGTGCGCCCAGGAATGGCCTGCTGGTCCTGTGGAGCCCTGCCTTAGTCAATTTGAGGAACTGCCAGACTGTGGTCACTCCTCCCAGCTCTGCAGATCAGGTTTGCCATGTCCTGGGTGGTCCTGGGGTCTAGATGGGTGGGGCGATGGAGCTGCTGTGGGGCTGGAGCCTTCCTGAGGGGTCCCTCCCTCGTCTCTGGTGTCCACACACCAGGCCCAGAAAAGGGGCTATTGTGTCTGTTGCTGTGGTGTGTTGTGAAGGACTGAAAGCCCATGGACTCCCTTGGCCTGGTGAGCATGGCCAGGTACTGCCCGTCTGGAGGACAGGGACCTCTGCTGGACCAGGCCAAGGTCTCTGCTGACAAAAAAAATGACATCCACTGGCCAGAACCCCTTTGTATCTTGTGGTCACTGAGCCAGGGCAGCCCAGGAGTAGAGAAGAGAGTCAGCGTTGGGCTCTGCCCGTGTCCTCTGCCCCACCTGTTCTCCTCCAGGGGACTGCTTGGGTATGCCTGGGCTCCCCAGCACCCTGGCTCCTGCTGGGGCTGGGCTGTTTCTTCTGCAGGTCGGGCTTTCTCCATGAATAAACATGCCTTTCTTCTTGAGCAAATTGGAAAAGTAAGGCTGAGTGCTTCTGAGAACCAGGGCGGGCGGGGCAGTGGCCAGCACAGCATGTGGGCTCCAGCAGCAGCAGGCCCCATCTGCAGAGCAGGGGGGGAGGGCTTCCCCAGTTAAGGGTCCACCGGAGAGCAGAGCACACGGGAGGGCAGCCTCACCCTGGCTCCCCGCACTCCTGCAGGCCCCGCCTCCTGCCCAGGCCAGAACGCAGGCTGTTATGGATTTGGCCTAATGGAGCTTAGCTGCCTGAGCAGATTGCTCTGGGGGCTTCGGGTGGGGCTGAGGCTGCTAGATACCTCCTAATCCTTCCAGCAGCAGAGTGTAGCAGTGTCTGTCTGACTTCCATGATGCAGCCTGGCAGGGTCCCTGCCTAGGATTCCCAGAGGTGCTTGTCTTGCTTGGGGGTCACTCTGACCATGCTTGGAGCCCCATATCACTGGCCCAGTTAGTGTGGCTGAATTTCCTGTGGTTCCAAGGACAAGCTGCAACCAGCTTGAGGCTCTGGGGCCTTGCTGGTCCCTCCCAGTGAGGGACAACAGCAGCCCCGTCTCTGCCTTTCTACGACAGGAAAGTGCCCAGTGGAGGGTCCAAGCCCACAATGGGTTTAAGGCTCTGCATCAATCCCAGTGTCTGGAATATGGTGTTGGTGTTGCTCAGAGAGTGCTTGTCATCAATATGACAAGCCCAGATATGTCACTTAGATAGGGTGAGGGCAGGTGGGGACCCTAAGCAGCGGGTCTAGGGACTGTGCTGAGCCATATATCAACAGGGAAGGTGGCCTCTGCTCAGCAGAGGGGTGTGGAGTCTGGCCTCTCCATCCCTAGGCAGTGCCCTGGGGCTCCTGGGCTGGATCCAGGGTGGCAAACAGCCATGCCCACACTTCTCAATTCCCCCAAGGGAGGGGCAGATTGAAGTGTGGTTTCAGGAAGAGCTGCATGGCTCCAGCTGGCTGGGGAGCGCCCTGTGCCTTGCCTTCCCCAGCCCAGCACTCCTGGGTTGGCCCCAGGTGGAGTGACCGCTTCAGCACCATGGACAGCGTCTCATATCATGCTCTCCTCCCTGCTGGTGAGGCCACATCTGGGGAGTCTGTCTGGGGTGCTTTGGAGTCCAGCTCCTTGGAAAGTGCTCAGCTGTGGCCTGAGAGGCGAGAGAGTGCTGGCGTTGTGGGCTGGCAGCCCTAGTGGAAAGAGGGATGGCCTTTCCTGTCCCAGAAAGGAGGCTTGGGGAGTGCCTTTGTTCCAGGACCCTCTGCAGCAGGAGGCCTGAGGGTCTGAGGACAGGAGCCGTGTCCTGAAGCCCCAGGCAGGACTTTTTCCCAGCTGGGTACTGGCTCTGAGCCCCTGGGAGAGGAGAGGGAGCAGGGGGTCTGGGGGTGCACATTTGGAGCATGAGGCCCACAGAATGGGCACTTGGAGTCCCCATGCACAGGACCTACTGCTCAAGGGGCCTGCAGGGATGGGACCTAGGCCCCCTTTCCAAGCCCCTCTCTGGGCTTCTCAGTTCCTTACTCCTTGTGGCCCAGGGCCTAGGGCTACGGGAGCCCTCACAGGACAGACCGCCTTATTCTGCCAGTCTGAATCAGTCCCACATCCCCACCCTGCTGAGTCCCCGGTTGCTCCTCCAGCAACAGGCCCTGGGCAGCACAGACGCCTGTCCACACATTGGCCTGGCTTTCTCTGGCCCGCAGTGGAAATTGGTTCTGATTTGTAGAAATTGGTTCAAAACCTACAGAATTTTAATTAAGATCCAGAAAATCCAGCTGTGTAATTAAGCCACTGGAAGTCACTGGGCTCTGTGTGATGTGGCTGGTTGATGCCGCCTGTCCTCAGTGTGATCAAGGGAGGTGTGACACACAAGGACTGTCCTCACAGGACAGGAAGTGGGCCATGTGCACCTGGCTGCCCTGCCCAGGGGAGGTCCTGACACCCCTGTGCACAGTCCTAGGAGCTTCTTTGACCCTCTGGTCACTCCCGGTGGCCCTTGCTCACACACTGGTAGGCACAGGGAGGGTGGCCTATGAGTCTGGGGTGCCCTCTGCAGCAGCTCCTGATGGTGCTGGGTCTAAATGTGGGTGTAAGGGGATGGGGAGGACCTGCCTCTGGAGCCAGGACTTAGCTGGGCGGCCTGACATGTGGCTTCAGCCACCTGCCCCCTGCCTGAGGCTTGGCCATCTGTGTGACAGCAAGGGCACTCCTGTCAGTACTGCAGTCCTGCCTGTGGGTGCACCCTTCCTGGTGCAATTCCACCTACTACTTCACGAAGCCACTGTCCCTACCAAGTCATACACACGGGCCCCGTGCAGCTGGGGCAGAGTACCCAGGGAGGAGGGCAGGGCTGCCCTGGACTTTGAGGAAGTTCCCTGGTTTGGAGCCAGCACAGGGTCCAGTGGCCAGGGGGCAGCAGCTGATGAGGGCTAAGTGGGGGGGCTGGCCAGGGGGTCATGGGACAGTGACCTGTGAGGGGGCAGTGGGGTGAGGCCAGGGGGCAGTGACCCACAAGGGAAGCCCAGGGACACTGAGGCTCAGAGGCTAGTGGCTACCTGCCAGGAGATGTGAAGCCAGGCTGAATCTGGAGCCTGGCCTGGCTGTGAGGGTGGATGCCCAACCCCTGTGGCTGGGGTCGGTATTGGGGAGGTGGGGCTGCAGGCGAGACCTGGCTTCCCCACTGTGTCCTGCAGGTGGTCTTTTAGAAAGCTACTCTAGGTCCGGGTCTCCCATGGGAACTCCCTGCTAGCTGGCTCTCTAGTGGTCGCGGCCCTGGGTAGGGGGCACAGGGAAAGCCACCAAAGTTGGATGGGCCAGGCCTGGGGTGGGCTATTGGGGTGGGGGTTCCCCTACCCTGGGTCCTTCTGGCTGTGGGCCACCCTGCCTGCGGCCCCCCACAACCCGGCCACTGTGGAGGTTGGCCAGGCCCTGGAAACCCTGGGAGCCTCCCCCACAGAGGCCTCAGATAGCATAGCTGGCTGGCCACAGGGCCCCTGTCCAAGGAGTTCCTGAGGAGTCAACTGGGGGGCAAGGCAGCAGCAACAGATTCTCCCCAGAACTATGGACTCCAGAGCCAGGGAGCCACCTGGTGGCCCCTTCTGGAATGGACAGGCATTCTGGTGCCAAGTGGCCAGGGTGGCCCTCCCGCGCTAGGGACATGGGGGTCCAGGATATGCCAGGCTGGCCTGCGGGTGGGCAGGGGGGGCTATTCACTGCACGTGGTCCTTAACGCCAGCACATGGTTCGAGCACGTCAGCATGCTGGTCATCATGCTCAACTGTGTGACCCTGGGCATGTTCCGGCCCTGCGAGGACCTGGAGTGCCGCTCGGAGCGCTGCAGCATCCTGGAGGTGGGCGGGTGGCAGGTGGGTGGGTGGGCCCTCTGGGGGGGGGGCAGCCTGGCCTGACCTCTGCTCCCACCAGGCCTTCGATGACTTCATCTTCGCCTTCTTCGCTGTGGAGATGGTGATCAAGATGGTGGCCCTGGGGCTGTTTGGGCAGAAGTGCTACCTGGGCGACACGTGGAACAGGCTGGACTTCTTCATCGTCATGGCAGGGTTGGTGGCCGCAGCCACGGGGCTGGCTGGTACCGGGTTCCCCGGGTGGCAGCCAGGGACAGGAGAGGTGGGTGGCCCGGGTCATGGGCCTCAGGGCCCAGCCTGGCTGGATTCAGGACCAGTGGCCTGCCTGCCAACCTTGGGTCTCCTGCTTCCCCAGTATGATGGAGTACTCCCTGGATGGACACAACGTGAGCCTCTCTGCCATCCGCACCGTGCGCGTGCTGCGGCCCCTCCGCGCCATCAACCGCGTGCCCAGTAAGTGACAGGCCCCATCCAGGGCTCTCTAATCCCACTTAGGCCCTGGCACTGGGAGCTGAAGGGCCACCCTGATGCTTGTCTGGGCCCTGAGGACTTGCCTCCTTTCTGGGGAGATCCAGGCTAGGACGTGATGGGCAGGCAGGTTCACATGGTCCTGGTCCCAGCACTGAGTGGCAGGGACTACTGTACTCTCTAGGGCATGACTGGAGTTGGTGGCCCCAGCAAGGGTACGCCTGCCCTAGGAGGGTGTGACAGTGGTGGTAGGGGACAACACCTCTAGATAACCAAGGTCACCAGGACCCACCAAAGGGCTCGTGGCTCAGGGTTGTGCCTTAATTCCCATGGGTCAGGCTTCTACCGACTTGTCTGCTCTAACCTCCAGGGTCAGATAGGACTCCAGTGCTGTGTGGTATTGGGCAAGTTACTGAACCTCTCAGAGCCCCTCTTTCTCACTGTAATAGTGGAGAGAGTGAACCCCTCCAGGTGGCAAGGTGAGGGATGCAGGTGTGACTCCTCGCATGCTGCACAGCATCCTCTACATGCTCAGTCCACTCAACAGGGCCAGCAGCTCCTCCCCAGGCCACCCTGTGGGAGCAGTTGAATGACCCAGCTCAGTCCACAGATGGCTTCTGCTGGGTCAAGTGCCTTTGCACCTGTCCCACAGGGTGACTCTGCACACAGGACCATGTGCTCCTCATAACAATTCCCAGGACATGTTAAAGACTGTATTCCACTATTTGCCCTAGGTCCACTCTGACCCCTGGGTAATGTGTGAACTTTGAGCCAGTTGCTGGCCAGAGTACAGCCCACTGACTGTGTCTGTCTGTCCACTGTGACTCTGTTCCTTTCCCTGTTTTTGAGACTTTAGTGTCCCTCCTGGCTTGGACTCCCCCAAGACCCAGGGCTCATTCTGCCATTGCCCCCTGCACCTGGACCTCCATGACACCTTGACACCTCTTCCCATGCCCAACCACATGGCCCAGGGCTCTACCTGCAGCCTCAGCATGGCCCTGCTTACACCTTGAAGAACAGGGCACTGCCCCTCCTGAGGACCTATCAAGGGACCCTGAGGCCTGGGCTGACCCGCCTTCTGGTGCCCTGGGTTCGTGTGGCCTAGGGCTTCTGGCCTGCCTCCTGCCTTCTGTGCCTGTCCCCCGTGCCCCTCGATGAGGGGCTCTGAGGCTCTGCTGTAGCACGATTCCTACTGGGAATAGCCAGAGCTCCACCTGCTTGGAGCCCAAGAGGCAGCCCTGAGCCTGAGGTGCCATGCTAGAGGTGTGCGGTCAGCCCATGTGGCCAGGACCCTGCCATCCGAAGGGAGCAGGAACTGGCCAGCTCTCACCCATGGGGAGCTGCGGCCTGCTCCTCTCTGGTGTGGCTGTGACCCAGGAGTGTCCCTCGGGGCCTGCAGTAGGTCAGGTGGGGAACACCAGTCACCGTGGGACTAGCACAGCTACCCAGAGTACCCACATGAGCACACTGGACACAGTGGGAATTAGTAGCAATTTAGGAATTTGCTACTGTTCACAGTAGCAAAGCTCAGGCAGGGCCCGGGCCCAAGGACCCTCTAGGAGGACTCTGCTGAGCTGACCAGCAGCCCTGCCTCCCGCAGGCATGAGGATCCTGGTCACCCTGCTGCTGGACACGCTGCCCATGCTCGGGAATGTCCTCCTGCTCTGCTTCTTCGTCTTCTTCATCTTTGGCATTGTTGGTGTCCAGCTCTGGGCCGGCCTGCTGCGGAACCGCTGCTTCCTGGACAGCACGTTTGTCAGGTGTGCAGGCCCTGCCTCCAGTGTGAGGCCCCACCCTCCCAGCAGGCCTGCTCACAGTGGCTCCTCCCACCCATCAGGCCCCGTCTCTGTTGGCCCCTCCCACCCAGCAGGCCACACCCCCAATGCGAGACCTGCACCCAGCAGGCCAGAGGCTGGGAGTTGCTCCCTACCTGGAGGCCCCCTAGGTTGAACCAAGGTCCTGGCTTTGGGTTTCTCTCTTTGTTTTTCTGCCTGGGTTTGTTTCTTCTCCCTGTTCCTGTGCGTTCCCAACATGACATGGGAGTGCTGGTAGAGAGGCCCTGCAGGGGCTGAGCTCCCACTTACCTGTGGGTCACCCAGCCCTGCTCTCCTGGACCCCTGCAAGTTCTCTGGTGTGCCCAGGGCCATGGAGCCTGACCTCGAGGGCTTCCCCCAGCTTGTCCTGGAGTGCCCAGCCCTGCTCAGGATGGGCACAGCAGCTTTCCCATGCCCCAGGGGAGCTTGCTGCATCTGGGGTGTGAAGCATTTGTCATTAGAAGTCTGCAGTTCAGGAGGCCTGACTGGAGGAGCAGCCAGGCTCCATCCTGCCTCCTCCTTGTCTCCTTCTGAAGGACAGTCCCCCACAGATGCCACTATCTGCTTCTGACCCCTCATTGCCCTTCATAGCGGTCTGGGAGACCCTGGGGAGGTCTGGCAGGAAGAGAGGAGGGACCCACGAGGAAGTTCCAGTGGCCCCCAGAGTGGTTGAGATTCTCTGGCCCTCCTTCCAGGCCTGGCCATCAAGGGGAGGAGGGCATCAGGACAGCCCAGGGCCTCTGGAGCTATGTCAGGTGGGCTCATGGGTTCCCTAGCCAGGTCCTGACCATGCTCACAGCAGTGCCAATGGATGGCGTCTGCCTTTGCCCTGGGTGCTCACCCCACTGGCTCTTGCCCTGCGTTCTCTCTCCTGGGGGCAGGAGTGGGAGTCCCAGTGGGCTTCAGGCTCAGTGAGACCCAGGCACCGACCCAGCCGGGCTCTGGCCCCACTGCCCTGCAGGAACAACAACCTGACCTTCCTACGGCCGTACTACCAGACGGAGGAGGGCGAGGAGAACCCCTTTATCTGCTCCTCACGCCGTGACAACGGCATGCAGAAGTGCTCCCACATCCCCGGCCGCCGGGAACTGCGCATGCAGTGCACATTGGGCTGGGAGGCTTATGTGCAGCCCCAGGCTGCGGGCGCCAGCCATAACGCCTGCATCAACTGGAACCAGTACTACAACGTGTGCCGCTCAGGGGACCTCAACCCCCACAACGGTGCCATCAACTTCGACAACATCGGCTACGCTTGGATAGCCATTTTCCAGGTGGGCACTGAGGGTGTGGCCAGGGCCCTGGAAGGGCCATGAGGAGGGCATGGTGTTGACTGCTGGCTAGGGAGCTGGAGCAGGCATGGGCCAGGGTGCAGCCGCCTCCCTCCCCAGGTGATCACGCTGGAGGGCTGGGTGGACATCATGTACTACGTCATGGACGCCCACTCCTTCTACAACTTCATCTACTTCATCCTGCTCATCATCGTGAGTGTGGGCTGGGGAGGGGTGGGGGTGCAGGGCGGCCCTGCGTCCTGCCCTACCCCTAAGGGGAGGGTGTAGCTCGTGCCCTGGGAGTGGTGGTCACTCCCACCCTGCCGCAGGTGGGCTCCTTCTTCATGATCAACCTGTGCCTGGTGGTGATCGCCACGCAGTTCTCGGAGACCAAGCAGCGGGAGAACCAGCTGATGCGTGAGCAGCGTGCCCGCTACCTGTCCAACGACAGCACACTAGCCAGCTTCTCAGAGCCAGGCAGCTGCTACGAGGAGCTGCTCAAGTACGTGGGCCACGTCATCCGCAAGGTCAAGCGCCGCGGCTTGCGCCTCTACGCACGCTGGCAGAGCCGTTGGCGCAAGAAGGTGGACCCCAGCAGCAGCCTGCAGGGCCAGGGCCCCGGGCAGCGGCAGCGCCGAGCAGGCAGGTGCGCAGCCTCCGTGCACCACCTGGTATACCACCACCACCACCACCACCACCACCACTACCACTTCAGCCATGGCAGCCCGCGCAGGCCCACTCCTGAACCAGGCACCCGCGATACTAGGCTGGTGCCTGCCGGCGCGCCACGCTCGCCGCCCTGCCTGGGCCATAGGCCACCTGACTCCGAGTCTGTGCACAGCATCTACCACGCCGGCTGCCACGTGGAGGGGCCGCAGGAGAGGGCCCGGGTCGCACACACTGCAGCTACCACTGCTGCCAGCCTCAAGCTGGCCTCGGGGCTGGGCACCATGAACTACCCTACTATCCTGCCCTCAGGCCTGGTTGGCAACAAAGGCAGCACCAGCCCCGGGCCCAAGGGCCAGCGGGCCGTGCCCCCGAGGACCATGGGGCATAGCCCCCTGAGCCTGGGTGGCCCTGGCCCCTACGAGAAGATGCAGCACGTGGTTGGGGAACATGGTAAGGACTCCAACACCACCCAGGGAGGAGGAGGGCACCTGGTAGCACCCTGGGGTATGGCCTGTGTACCCCGCACCTTGCCAGTCAGGGAGGAAGAGGGGCCCCATCTCTCCATCCCACGTGAAGCCCCATTGACAGGCCCAGAGGAGCAGAGTCTTTGCCCTGAGATGGCACTCAGCTTGGCAAGGAAAGCCTGGCACACCTCCCACGTCCCTCCTGGTCCTGGGGGACCATGTGCCCACGTCCATGGCCTGCCGTGGCCTGGGAGGACTTGTGGAGCCCCTAGTAGCTGGGAGCTGGTTCCTTTGCTGGTGGATAAACTGAGGCTTGGGCAGTGTGGGAGTAGAAATCAAGGTGCAGGGTCCCCAAGGATCAGGAGAGTATAGAGTCCCGCTTGGGACAGACAGCCCAAGGGGAACATGGGTCTTCCCGGGGAGCAGGTCCCCTGCCTTCCTGGAGGCTCTACCAGGGCCTATGTGGGACAGCAGGGGACACGTGCTCCAGCCCCTGCAAGGAGGATAGTGATGGAGGCCTTGCCTGCTCTGTGGGGGACGGCGACAGCTAGGAGGGCGACTGGCTGGGTGGGGAGCTGGTGCCACCGCGTACCCTGATGTCAGCAAATGGAATCTTAGGTGTCCGTGGGCAGTGCAGCTGTAGAGGGGACAAACTTGCCCACCTCAAGTGTCCCCACCCCAATGTGTGACAGGAGTGCCACCATTGGGGATGTGTGCACCCTGGTGTACACGTGTGTGCCTAGCTAACTTGTGACTTCCCCAAGTGCACCTGTGTGTGTGCAAAAATGTGTGCAGGTGTACATGTGTTCCCAGGTTTGCATGTGTGTGAGAATGTGCCCAGTTGTACACATGAATGCCCCCATGTGCACGTGTGGGTGTACAAGTGTGTCCAGGTGTACAGTGATGGTCCCCAGGGATATCTGAGTGTGCAAGTGCACACCCAGATACGTGTGTGCCCAGGTGTGTGCCTGCAGGTGCGTCTGCCCTATGTTTTTGGCTGCTGTCAGGGTGCCTCAGGTGGGTAGCTCACAGCAACAGAAACGTCCTCTGGGCTCTGGGAGGCCAGAAGCTGGCATTAGCATGGTGGGCTGCCTCCTGGAGGCCCAGGCACCACAGGCTGCTGGGGCTGGATGCTGGGTGGTGCCTCAGCCCCTGCCTGCTGCTGCACAGGACTCTCCCATGCGTGTTTTCCCTCTTCTGAGGATGCCAGTTGTCCAGGGCCCCCTCCGCTGTCTGCTCCAGGCCTCCTCAGAGGCCTCTTCCCACATGAGGCCCCATCACAGCCTCTAGCATCAGGACAAGGGCAGTCTTTCTGGGGCCCTGGTGCCCTGGGGTTGGCGCTCTGTGCAAATCTGACCCTGTCTGTGTCCCCACAGGACTGGGCCGGGCTTCCAGCCGTCTCTCAGGCCTGAGTGTGCCCTGCCCTCTGCCCAGCCCCCAGGCGGGCACACTCACCTGTGAACTCAAGAACTGCCCATACTGTGCCAGCGCTCTGGAGGACCCTGAGCTTGAGTTCAGTGGCTCCGAGAGCGGGGACTCAGATGCCCATGGGGTCTACGAGTTCACACAGGACGTGCAACGCAGCGACCGCCGCGATCCCATGCAGCCACCCCCAGCAGCAGACACACCAGGCCAGGGTGGTGTGCAATGCCGGCCACAGCGGCGACCAGCCTCCAGCGGGCCAGGCTGGCCAGGCCGTCTCTGGGCCTCCTTCAGTGGCAAGCTGCGCCGCATCGTAGAGAGCAAGTACTTCAACCGTGGCATCATGGTGGCCATCCTGGTCAACACACTGAGCATGGGCGTCGAGTACCATGAGCAGGTGGGGCCCTCGGGGGAATGGACGGGGTCAGAGCCAGGACATGGCCACTAGCAAGCCTCAGAGCTCTGCCTCCTTGAGGCTGCGCCTCTTCAGGCCCCAAGGGTCCGTGTGGTGGCCTCTGTAGCAAGGAGAGGTCTGCATAGCCTCAGTCCCTTGGGCAGTAAGAGTCAGATGCTCCTGACTCCTCAGGCTAGGCCTCTGCTGAGCTGTGGACATGGACTTCTGGCTCCAGCCCAGAGGTTCTCCCAGTCAGGGTGGGAGCCAGGAGACCACCAGAAAACCCCCAGGTCAGGGCACCCAGAGGCACTGAGCCCAAGGATATCCAACCAGCCAGCCCTTCTCAGTGCTTTCTGGGAGAGGCAAATGGCCCAAACCCTGGCCATACCCGCAGGGGCCCTTGGTGGCTGCAGCAGCCCCCATGAAGTGACTCCTGGGCCCAGGAGGAGGGGTGCAGAGGGCACCGAGCACCCCTCACCTGCCTGGGCACCAGAGCCCCTTATACAGCTGACCCTTGCCCTCAGGACTGAGGCCACACCAGGGCAGGAACAATGGGTCCAGTAGGGCAGGTGTCCTCCTGGGGTCCAGGGCCAGCTCCTGTTGCTACTGTGCCAAATCCCCCTTAGCAGCCAGAGTGGTCTTCTCATCCTCTAACATCTGGGCATGTCCAGTTGCTGTTTCCCAGAGTCACTTGGGGAAGTGCAGCCGCTGTTGGCCTTAGGCAGGCCCCAGGCAGGGTGCTGTCCCAGGAGGGCGGGACTCTGGGCAGCACAGCCCCCACCTGGAGGAGCTTCTGTGCACACAGACGTGCGCACCCACTCCACGGTCACACGTGCAAGGCTTGCCTGTATACACACATGCACAATCACACACAGGCTCCCACCCCAGCAGTGTGGCCTTGGGCTCTACAGGGGGCGTGGACAGGCTGCTGACTTGCTGCACCCAACAGCCCCCAGCCCCACACCCAGCTCTGTTCCCCATGGCCTGTGCCTTGTGGAGGGTCTGAGGAGGCCGGTGGCAGCCTGCACACTGAGCCGCAATCGCAGGAAGGTTGGGCAGGTCCTGGGGAGCAGAGAGTTTGTGGTAGGCTAGGCAGGTCTGCTGTCCACCTGGAGGGCACCCCTGGGGTGCTGTTTCTGTAGCTCACAAATGAGCAGTCTCTTGAGTGGCTACATAGCCCTCAGTCCCTTGGGCCCTTGATGCAGCCAAAGCTGCTTGTCCTTCAGTGCCCAGAAGGACACTACAGGAGGCCCTGACCCTCTTCCCTGCCTGCAGCCAGAGGAGCTGACCAATGCTCTGGAGATCAGCAACATTGTGTTCACCAGCATGTTTGCCTTGGAGATGCTGCTGAAGCTGCTGGCCTGTGGCCCGCTGGGCTACATCCGGAACCCCTACAACATCTTTGATGGCATCATCGTGGTCATCAGGTGGGTGCGTGGCCACTCAGGCCAAGGGACCCGGGAAGCTCTGCTCTGAGGCAGAATCTTGAAATGCAGAGCATCATCCACAGGAAGGAGCTTGATGGTGGTGGTTCAGGTGGGCTGGGGCCCTGGTTACCTCAGGCTTTGGACAGTCCCTTCCCCACAGGCACCGTGGGCCACACATTAGGGCAGCTGTATCTCGGTGGGTGTTTAGCATCTGGAGAAGCTGGTCTCTGCAGGCCAGTTTGGGTGCTCAGTAGCCCTTCATCCCGATGAGGAAGGGCAGCTGGGGCTACATCATGCTCACCTCTGGGCGTTTGCTCTAGCAAGATTCAGTACTGAGTGGCAGGGGAATCTGAGGGTGACCTCGGCTCCCATAGAGGAAGCAGACCTCAGGAGTGCAGGAACAGGCAATTGGGAGCAGAGGAGCCAGTCCTGGCCACAGAGGTCAGGACAGGAGGCACGAGGCTGAGACACTTCTCTGACTTGCTGAGAGCCCAAATCTCCTGGGAGCTCAGGAGCTGGGCAGCCTGCAGGTCCCATGGCCAGTCAGGCTGCTGAGCCCCTGGGCACCTCTGCAGCCCAGCCTGCTCCCAGATGTGTGGTAGAGCAGAGGCCATCCTGCCTCCGGGAAGAGGGCCCGGGGTCGGGACAGCCACACTGATCCGCCACCTGGCACCCTGGCCTGCAGCGTCTGGGAGATCGTGGGGCAGGCGGATGGAGGCCTGTCCGTGCTGCGCACCTTCCGGCTTCTGCGGGTGCTGAAGCTGGTACGCTTCCTGCCGGCACTGCGGCGGCAGCTCGTGGTGCTCATGAAGACCATGGACAACGTGGCCACCTTCTGCATGCTGCTCATGCTCTTCATCTTCATCTTCAGGTGGGCACCGGCCTCCCCCAGGGCAGCCGAGCTATGCCTGTCTCCACCTGAGCCCTCAGGAGTCAGCTTGTCACCGCTGCCTGAATTCAGGCAGCACGACTGAGCACCTACTGTGTGCGGGTGCTAGGGTGCCGTTCACAGGTGGGGGTTGGAGGTGGAGCCTCCAGGCAGATGAGGTGGGGACTGTGGATCATGCAGGCTCCTGGAAGGGTTGCTGAGTGCCTGCATGTGCCATCCTGGCCTGGGCACAGGGCTCGGAGAGGGTGGGCAGAACAGGCAGGCTGGTTCTTGTGGCCAAGCAGGGATAAGACAGGTATCCCAGGTCCTGGCCACTGCCCAGAGTCAGTGGCCTCAACTGTCCACCTTGGTTCTGGGTGTAGGTGCCTCCTAAGCCACAAGTGTGGGTGCCCAGGAGGGGGGTCAGGCACTGGGGTGATGGAGGGTCCCTGTTCAGTGCACCCCACTCCTGCCTTCAGCATCCTGGGCATGCACCTGTTTGGCTGCAAGTTCAGCCTGAAGACAGACACAGGAGACACTGTCCCTGACAGAAAGAACTTTGACTCCCTGCTTTGGGCCATCGTCACTGTGTTCCAGGTACACCCAGGGGCTTCTGAGTGGGAAGGATGGGCCGAGGGCCCAGGGGTCACGGGCTGGTGCCAGGCCTGACTCATGTCCCCCCAGATCCTGACACAGGAGGACTGGAATGTGGTGCTGTACAATGGCATGGCCTCCACTTCCTCGTGGGCCGCCCTCTACTTCGTGGCCCTGATGACCTTCGGCAACTACGTACTCTTCAACCTGCTGGTGGCCATCCTGGTGGAGGGCTTCCAGGCAGAGGTGAGGGCTCGGGCACCCTCGGCAGGCGGTCTCAGGGCCCTTCTGCCCATGCCCTACCCCCTCACTGCAGCCTCCATGGCTGAGGGCCCACCGAGGGAGCCTCACGTCTGCCTTGTGCGTGGCGGGTATAGGGTGATGCCACCAGATCCGACTCTGATGAGGACAAGACATCCACCCACTTTGAGGAGGATCTCGACAAGTTTAGGGTCCTGCCAGCCTCAGGTGTGAGGGGGTGTTGACCGGCATGGGGGCATCCCTGTCCTGGTGTGGTAGGCTGGGAGGAGTTTTTGTTCCTGGGATCTAGCTGCTCACGGGGCCCACTCCACCCAGAGATGAAGATGTCATCGCTGGTGGTGACCCCCAACGGGCACCTGGAGGGCCGGGGGAGCCTGCCCCCTCCCCTCATCATGCATACGGCAGCCACGCCTATTCCCACTCCCAAGAGCTCTCCACATCTGGACGTGGCCCATGGCCTCCTGGACTCACGCCGTGGGAGCAGCAGCTCTGTGGACCCCCAGCAGGGGGACCAGAAGTCTCTGGTAAGGATGATTGATCCCCTGCCCAGGCCCTTGTAGCACCTCCTGCCCTGAGACGAGCAAAAGTCCATGTGCCTCATAAAGCTCTGGCCACATAAGTCTGAGGGGCCAGTGCTGTGCTCTATGCGCAGGCAGGCAAACTCCACGTGGTCCCTGCAGGCTAGCAGAAGGCCCAGCAGGTTCCTATCCCAGCTCAAAATGAGAGAAAGCGGTCGAGCAGAGGTCACGGAAGGAAAAATGGAACAGGGCTGGGAAATAGGACTAGGGTCGGACTCAGGGGTCGCCACCAGCAAGGCATCCACTGTGTGTGGCCCGGGTGTCTCAGGCACTTTGAAACTCCAGGAAGTGCTGCCCCGTGGACGTGGCTGTGAGGGGAGAGCAGAGGGAGTGGAGGGGGCCGTGTGTAGCTAAGAGACATGGGGAAGGATTAGGACAGGATGGTGGGGAGCCACTCCTCCCCAGGAGGTAGACGGGGAGTGAGACTCAGCTCCTGCTTGGGGGTCAAGCAGCACAGCAAGCCCAGGAGAGGCCCCAGGCGTGGGTCTAGTTTTATGCCCTGAGACAGCAGCCAAGTCCCTCTGCAAGTACAGAAGTGACCCAGGGAAATGGTGCTGCACATGGCCCCAGCCCTCTGGGGCCCTCCTGCTGACCCTCACAGGACACAGCAGCCAGGGGCACCCGCCTGGGCAGGCGCTGGCATTTCTGAGCCTCCAGCTGGCTCAGGGTCTACATGAGAACACAGCATGGATGGTGTCCCTAGTCATCAGGGTGGCTCACATGTGTGACCCAGCTTGCTACAAGTGCCAGCCATTGACTGGCAGCCAGGGAAGGGCCCTGCCTGCCAGTGGGTGTGGGCCCAGTGCGTGTTCCCGCTCCTGCTCCGCCCCCAGGCCAGCCTTCGCAGCTCACCCTGTGCCCACTGGGGCCCCAGCAGCGCCTGGAGCAGCCGGCGCTCAAGCTGGAGCAGCCTGGGCCGCGCGCCCAGCCTCAAGCACCGCGGCCAGCGTGGGGAGCGCGAATCGCTGCTGTCTAGCGACGGCAAGGGCAGCACAGACGATGAGGCCGAGGATGGCAGGCCAGGGACCGGCTCCAGGCCAGGGTCCTCGCCCGGGCCCCAAGCCAGCCCACTGCGGCGCGCCGAATCCCTGGACCACCACAGCACACTGGACCTGCAGTCCCCGCGGCCTGCCGCCCTCCTGCCAGCCAAGTTCCACGACTGTAATGGGCAGACAGTGGCCCTGCCCAGTGAATTCTTCCTGCGCATTGACAGTCACAAGGAGGACACAGTTGAGCTGGATGACGATGTGGAAGACGTGAGTGGGCCCCAGCAAGACCCACAGCTGTCCCTGTGCCGTTTTGGGCCCATTGTGGGTCAGGGCAGCAGACTAGCCAGGGGTGGAGTTCAGCTCTGGGGATCCCAATTGGCCCCCTGCCCTCAAGGCCGGCCCTCCCTTGTGGTCAGCCACTGCCTGGAGCCCCCTTGGTGAAGCAGGCAGTGTCTGCCAGGCTGGGTGCCTCAGGGGCCCCACCAAGCTGGCCAGTGGACTCGCTATAATCACTGCCCATTGCCTGGGAGTGTGGGAAGGTGAGGCTCCTGGCAGACAGCAGGAGGGAGGGGCAGCCCCAACAGGCACCTGGGTGGACTGGCCCCCAGGAGGGACAAGGCAGCGCCTGGGGTCTGAGGGCTACCTCCCCTCCCCAGAGCTGCTGCTTCCGCCTACACAAGGTGCTGGAGCCCTACACGCCCCAGTGGTGCCGCAGCCGCGAGTCCTGGGCCCTCTACCTCTTCTCCCCACAGAACAGGTGAGAGGACAGGGGGGCTGGCGGGTGACCCCAGGGCCGCAGCTGCTGTGGGGCCCGCCAGCCACACTCACAGCCCCCTCCCCAGGCTGCGTGCCTGCTGCCAGAAGGTCATCGCGCACCGGATGTTTGACCACGTGGTCCTCGTCTTCATCTTCCTCAATTGCATCACCATCGCCCTGGAGAGGCCAGACATCGACCCCGGGAGCACCGTGAGTTGCCGTCGGAGGCCACTGGGGCAAGGCCGGGCAGGGCAGAGTGCGGCTTTCCCACCGGACTTTCCCTGCAGGAACGGGCCTTCCTCAGCGTCTCCAACTACATCTTCACAGCCATCTTCGTGGTGGAAATGATGGTGAAGGTAGGTCTCTCCACTGCCCCGCCCTAGCCCGCCCACTGCCAAGCCCCGCCCACAGCCCTGCCTGTGGGCCTCCCACCTAGCCCAAGTACCATCCCCAGGTGGTAGCCCTGGGTCTGCTGTGGGGCGAGCGTGCCTACCTGCAGAGCAGTTGGAACGTGCTGGACGGGTTGCTGGTCCTGGTGTCCCTGGTGGACATCGTTGTGGCCATGGCCTCCGCTGGTGGTGCCAAGATCCTGGGCATTCTGCGCGTGCTGCGCCTGTTGCGGACCCTGCGACCTCTGAGGTAGGGCAAGGACAGGAACAGGGATGGGAGGACAGGGGGCCACCAAGGGTGGAGGTGTGGCCTTTGAGGTAGGACAGAGTCTGGAGGATGGGGTGGGGCCACCACAGGTGTCCAGAGTGGACGAGGCGTGGCCCACCCCACCTGGTAGCCGCTGTGTGGCTCAACCACGCGTGCCCTCCACTGGGCCAGGGTCATCAGCCGGGCTCCAGGCCTCAAGCTGGTGGTGGAGACGCTGATCTCATCGCTCAGGCCCATCGGGAACATCGTACTCATCTGCTGCGCCTTCTTCATCATCTTCGGCATCCTGGGGGTGCAGGTGGGTGGGCTGCCGCCCAGGTGGACAGGTCTGGGGGCCACTGGGCGGGTGCCCCGGGTGACAGCCGTGCCCGGTCAGCTCTTCAAGGGGAAGTTCTACTACTGCGAGGGTGCCGACACCAGGAACATCTCCACCAAGGCTGAGTGCCGGGCTGCCCACTACCGCTGGGTGCGGCGCAAGTACAACTTCGACAACTTAGGCCAGGTGGGCGCGGTGCGTGCGGAGCCTCCAGGGCAGGGCTGACCACTGCGCGGCCCTGTTGGTGACCCATCGCACTCGCAGGCGCTGATGTCACTGTTCGTGCTATCGTCCAAGGACGGCTGGGTGAACATCATGTATGACGGACTAGACGCCGTGGGTATTGACCAGCAGGTGCGCGGGCTGGGAGGCCACAGAGGCCTGGAGTCACCCTTTGTGTCCTGGGGCTCCCGCCGTGGGTGTGGCGGGCGGAGGGCAACCCACCGCCTCGTGTGCCATAGCCCGTGCAGAACCACAACCCCTGGATGCTGCTGTACTTCATCTCCTTCCTGCTCATCGTCAGCTTCTTTGTGCTCAACATGTTCGTGGGTGTGGTGGTAGAGAACTTCCACAAGTGCCGGCAGCACCAGGAGGCTGAGGAGGCGCGCCGGCGGGAGGAGAAGCGGCAACGGCGGCTGGAGAGGCGGCGCAGGAGTAAGGCGCCCCTGGTGGCGGTGGCGGGTCGGTACCTGCACACAGGGCCGTGGCACCAGCCCCGGGGCCTGCAGCCCCACCCGAATGGCTCTGCACGTGGCCCACCTTGCATGGGGGCCCGGCCTCATGAGGGGCCAGCAGGCGTGGGCAGTTGGGGCGCCCACTGTGGCAGGAGGCAGGGTCCCCTCTCAAGGGACCCAGGAAACGGGGCGCCCCAGCCTGCACCTGCTCTCTAGGGACAGGTTCATCCCATGGGTCCCCTCTACAAGAGCCATCATGCCCCCTGAGAGTTTGGCCTGTGGCTTGGGAGCAAGAAGGCCCCCGAGTGTCCCCCACCCCCAGCAGGCACCTGACATTTCCCCCACTCCTGGCAGGTTCCCTGTGTCCCCCACCCCCGGCAGGCCCCTGACATTTCCCCTACCCCCAGCAGGCCCCTGGCAGGTCCTTGGCATTACACCCACCCTTGATAGGCCCCCAGTGTCCCCCCTACCCCTGGCAGGGCCCTGGTGTTACCCCTGCCCCAGGCATGCCCCGCCCCTGGCAGGCCCCCAATGCCGCCCCCCACTGCGGCCCTCAGACGTCTCCTTGTCTTTCCAGGCACTTTCCCCAGCCCAGGTACCTGCCCTGCCCGCATGCTCAGCCCGCTAACGCTGGCCGGCCGTCACGCCGCATGGGGAAGGAACACAGGCTCGCTGGGGTCCCCCAGGGTGGGCACAGGCTAGGGCCAGGTGCCAGCGGGCGGGGGGAGGCTGTGGCTTGCTCTCCAGTGTCCATGCCGCTGCCCCCGCTCTGGCCTGTCCCTCTTTGCAGCTTGCATGTGTGTGTCTCTGCTGTCTCTTGGGGACAAAAAGTGTCCCCTGGCTCTGACGGCTGTGGCTGCTCCGTCTTCTGTGCAAGCTGCCATCCCCCTTGGCTGCCTTAGCTGAGCTGAGCTGAGCTCTCTAGTGACTGCATGCTAGACCAAGGAGCATGAGCCTCCAGGGTGGGGGGTCGCTCTGGTCAGCACCTGCTCTCCCTTGCCCTAGGCCTTCAGCCCCAAATTTGTGGTTGCGTGCCAAGGTGGCCCCGGGGCACAGGGCAGCCCATACCGTTCCTGCAAGAATTGGCAGCACTACAGGGCTGCTGTGGGCAGGGCACTTCGCAGACAGACCTTCAGGGGCACATAGAGGAGGCACTCCCCAGGGAGGTCCTGCCTTCCTGTCATGAGCCCTACTGACCTCAGAAGGCTGACCCCAGACCACTATCACCAGGTGCCCCTTGGGAGATGGCACAGGAAGGGACTTTACTTGTGGCCAGGGTACATCCCTACCTAGGCAGGCCCACGGGGTCTGGACTGGGAGATAAGGGGCTGCCCTGCCCAGCCTTTCATCCCAATGCTGGTCCATGGCCAACATGGCCAGATCTCCTGCTGGCCAGCCTGAAGTTTCAGGAGGGCAGTTCTGGTGCAGGGACCCGGGTAGAATGCAGGAAGGCCGCCTCAACTTCTATACCCTTCCTGGGGGCTGTCCAGACCTCCCAGTCCAGGAGGCCGACCTACCCCAAGGCCTCCCTGCAATCCCAGCCCATGGACTCTCACAGAACTGCCTTTCTACAGCATGGGTCCCTTTCCAAGAGAACGCCCTCCTCTGGCCTCCTGCAAGCCCCCAAGGGGCCGACCAGGACAGCTGGGCCCTCCTTGAGCTGTCCCGCTCACTTGGCGCTGGCTGCTCACGACCCCTCTCCCTGCAGAGGCCCAGCGCCGGCCCTACTACGCTGACTACTCCCAGGCACGCCGCTCCATCCACTCTTTGTGCACCAGCCACTACCTAGACCTCTTCATCACCTTTGTCATTGGCCTCAACGTCATCACTATGTCCATGGAGCACTATGACCAGCCCAAGGTGGGCCCAGTGGCACAGCCGCAAGTCCAGCCCAGCTTTGCTGCTGTCCAGCCAAGGGTGTTCTTTAAATACCAGGCCCAAACCCACAGCACCTGCCCAGGAAAGCGCTTCCAGCCTAAGGCTGGCTATAAATGTCCTTGGCAAGGGATGGCCTGTGCCCCTCATGCTCCCTGCACCTGTGTCTCCGGCCCCTAGTTGGGGTGTAGAATGGCAGAGCCTTCCAACAGAAGCAGCTTAGCCTGAGGAACATGCCTTGCTGTGAGGCTGGGCACAAGGGCGTGGTGGGGCGAGGGCCTGTGTCCCCCCCAGACTTAGTGGCCTTACCTGGGTGACGCTTCCCAGGCTTCTTAGGCACCCAGGTCAGCAGAGCTGGGGCCACAGTGGCCAGGCGCAGTTGCAGGCCCTGCACGCTGAGAGGGCCCTTACTGTGTCAAGCGTCAACTGTGTGCTGTGCTAGAGATGGGAGACCTGACCGCCCAAGCACATGCTGCAGGGTGTCCTGGGGCTGGGGCCTCATGACCGCAGGAGGCCACTTGAGCAGGTAGAGTCGGCAGGGGCGACTCAGGGCCTCTTCAACCAGCTTGCCCCTCTGTCCCCCAGTCGCTGGACGAGGCCCTCAAGTATTGCAACTACGTGTTCACCATCGTCTTTGTCATTGAGGCTGTGCTGAAGCTGGTGGCCTTTGGGTTCCGGCGGTTCTTCAAGGACAGGTTGGTGGGTCCCCTAGCAGCCCTGAGGCACCCTGGGTTTTCTTGGAGTCCTGGCTGTCCTGGGACAAGTGCAGGTGGCAGGCAGGAGACTCCTGCCCTGGCCCTGAGTGGGCTCTGGGGTGGTGGCTGTGCTCAGCTGCGCCCTCTGCTGGCCAGGTGGAACCAGCTGGACCTGGCCATCGTCCTGCTGTCCATCATGGGCATTGCCCTGGAGGAGATTGAAATGAATGCCGCATTACCCATCAACCCCACCATCATCCGCATCATGCGTGTGCTCCGTATCGCCCGTGGTAGGTGTCCACCTGGGGTCCCCTAGACTGTCAGTAGAACCTTCTGATGGCCTCTGAGGCCTAGACAGAGCAGGATGGGCCACTGACAGGTCTGAGTCGCCTGAGATGTCTGCAGCTAACGGGGTAGTCCTGTCTTCCAGACAGGGAGCGCAGGGTCGGTGTCCAGGGTCTTTGGATCATCGGGTGGGGGTCAGCATGACTGCTAACACTCAGCTCCTGACCCTAGTGCTGAAGCTGCTGAAGATGGCCACAGGCATGCGGGCCCTGCTGGACACTGTGGTTCAAGCCCTGCCCCAGGTAGGTCAGGGTCTGGGCACTACCTGAGGGTGGGCATTGTGAACTCTCAAAGGACAAGACCTCGGGGAGGGCCTGGCTCACCGTCCCCCTCCTCCCTCACATCCATGTGTGTAGCTCAGCTGAGCTGGAGGAGGGGTGCAGGTCACCTGCTTTCACCTGTCTTACGGCAAGAGCAGTGACCAGTGCCTTCCCTGACCAGTGTACTTTCAGAGGTCAGGGGCCACAGAGCCAGGGAGGGGCTGAGGCCAGTGGGGACCACGGTGAGCCTGATGTGGGTAGAAGACTGGCCCAATGTCCACAATACTGTACCCACAGTCCCACCTGTCCTTTCTGGCCTCAGGCTGAAAGGTACCAGTTGCATGGCCCTGTCTACACAGAGTCCAGTCCCCCTGCTCCCCCTGGCCATGGCTCAGCCTACTGGCCATCCACCCATGTGCCCTGCCCTACAGCTGATGACCTAGTGCCCAGTTGCCTGCCTCCTCACCCAACGCCAGCAGCCACCCACTCCCCTGTCTCCCCAGGCTTTTTCCAGCCACCTCCCCACCGTGTGCCCGACCACCCGCCCCACCAGCCCTCCACCCCCACCATCTTTAGCAGCATGTTTCATCCCATCTGAGTGACATGCTGGTTGGTGCTCTACCCTCTGCCCAGCCACCCATAGGGACAGGAGGGGGGCCCAGGCCTGGCCACACCCAGCCTTGTAGGGTGCTGGAGCAGGTGCTGAGGTGCCAGCCGTTCAGAAGCTGCGGGGCTGCACAGATTCTCCAGGGAGGCAGGGACAAGGCCTCTGGTGGCACTCCTGTCCACTGAGCCTTGGCCCAGGGCCCTGCCATGGGGACCCCAAGGCAGAAGTGGCCCCTGCACAGTGCAAACAAGAGCTCTCAGCAATACCCTCTGGGCCTCAGGAAGAGCACATGCTAGGAAGAGGGTGGACAGCCCCAGGGCAGCGGCTCAGGGGTGGACAGTTGGGCGAGCAGGGTGGGCATGAGCTATGGAGGGTTAGAGACTGGGGGACAGGGAAAGGTCAGGCCAACTCGGGAGGGGCCCTGGACCTGGGGCCAGAACGGGAGGTCCAGGAGACTCTAGGGCCAGGAGGGTCACAGAGCTCAGGACGGGTCCTCACCCCACCTTGCCTGGGCCGAGTGCGGGAACAGGTCCACGGGCTGGGCCGAGGGCTGACCTTGTTCTGCTTCTCTCTCGTGTAGGTAGGGAACCTTGGCCTTCTTTTCATGCTCCTGTTTTTTATCTATGCTGCCCTGGGAGTGGAGCTGTTTGGGAGGCTAGGTGAGTGTGGCCACGCCACCTACTCCCTGCTGGGCACCACCAGTCCCAGGGGGTCAGGAAGGCTCCCTCTTCCTCCACCCACACAGGCCTGCAGCTGGCTCAGGATCCTAGCCCCAACCCAGGCAGGCCACAGACCCCTGGTGTCCTTCCCCCCTCTCCCACTGGCCCCTTGGGCCTTCACCCCGTGAGGTCAGCACTAGAGCACGTGCACAGGTGGCTCACTCTGTCCTCCAGAGGTGGCCCCAGGCAGGACTGCACTTGGGCCTTAGCACACACCAACCTGCTGACCCCCTGTGGCCGCCAGGAAGCAGGTGCTGGCAGTGTGTCCTCTGGATTGTCACTTAAGACTCTGACCCAGTCCGAGCCAGGGCAAGTGGGGACCCTCCAGATCAGCCCCGTCCTTGCTGAGCCTGCACTAGCTGTCCTGCCAGTGCTGGGAGGCTGTGGTGGAGGCTTCCATGCTGACGAGCAGGGTGTCCCCTGACAGAGTGCACTGAGGACAACCCCTGCGAGGGCCTGAGCAGGCACGCCACCTTTGCCAACTTCGGCATGGCCTTCCTCACGCTGTTCCGGGTGTCCACCGGGGACAACTGGAATGGGATCATGAAGGTAGGGCAGGAGCTGCCCTGGGTGGGGCCCGGGTGGCCAGGGACAGCGCAGTGACTGGCTGCCTCCGCAGGACACACTGCGGGAGTGTGCGCGTGAGGACAAGCACTGCCTAGGCTACCTGCCGGCACTGTCGCCCCTGTACTTCGTCACCTTCGTGCTGGTGGCCCAGTTCGTGCTGGTCAACGTGGTGGTGGCCGTGCTCATGAAGCACCTGGAGGAGAGCAACAAGGAGGCCCGCGAGGACGCCGAGATGGATGCCGAGCTCGAGCTGGAGATGTCGCAGGGGCCCCCCGCCCGCCCCTCACCCCCAGAAAGCCCAGACACAGGCCCAGATGGCCCCACCCTCTTGGCCGTGCGCAAGGTGTCTGTGTCCAGGACACTCTCACTGCCCAACGACAGCTGCATGTTCCGGCCCGTGGCACCCGCCACGGCCCCCCAACCCCACCCCCTGCAGGAGGCCAGGATGGAGACCTACGCGGGCAGCACCCCCTCAGGTGTGACCCCTGGGGGGCCAAGAGGACGGGGCTGGCAGAAGGGAGGACGGGGTTGGCAAGTCGCGGGTGGGGGATGGCGGGGTTGGGGCACAGGACACCTGGTTCAGCTGCGTCCCTGCCCCAGGCTTGGTCACCTCCGCTCACTCGCCGCCCCTGGAGCCTTCTGCCTCCCTGCAGGTCCCATCAGCCACATCCCCACCTGCCAGGGGCAGCGACCCTCAGTGTACCCTGTCCCCCCGTGGCGCACCCCACTCCCCCAGCCTCAGTCGGCTGCTCTGCAGACAGGTAGGGACCCTCATCCCGCAGGCCTGGGGGGGCTTCATGGGGTTCCTTCTCCCTTTGATAGGTGGTGCTGAGGCCTAGGGTGAGCAGGTGCTGTGTCCTTAGGCTCAGATTGTTCCATCTGCCCCTTGGCAGACCTCAGGGCGTCAAGCCAGTGGTGGTTTCTGGTAGCACAATGGTAGACCCCAGCTTATAACTGCAGAGCTGGTCACAGGGCCCAAGAGTCGTCCTCAGGCAATAGCCTTGGGCCCTCACGGTGGCAGAGTGCCGGCTCCTGGGTCCTAGCTGTGCCTGGCCTGCCAAGGCTGACCCACAGCCCCTACCTGTTCTCCCCAGCTCCTGTGGCCAGCAGGAGAGCCCCTTGCTGCTTGGGAGCTCTCGGGGTATCCCATCCTCCTGGTGTCTAGATGGGCTGTGAGGCCTGGGCCCCACCCTGTGCCCCACCCTGTGCCCCTCAGCACATCCTGGACCCTGTGCAGGCTCTGCCCTCCGGAGCTCAGGCCTCCAGGGCTTCCCCTCCACTGGTGGCTGCAATGGATGGCTCCGGTCCCTCAGAGCCTCACAAATCCCTGCTCACACCAGCAGCTCCCTGCCCCCTCATCCTGCTGGCCAAAGTCCCATTCCTCACCTTGAACTGGTGTCTCTGCAGGAAGCCATGCGCAGAGAATCGCTGGAAGAGCAGGCTGATGGCCGTGGGGACAGTGCCCCGGGATCCACAGAGTCTTTTGAGAAGAGCCCAGCCAGGCAGGACTCCCTGGGGGGCCCCCCACGGTCCCCACCCTGCTCCCCACGGCCTGCCAGCATTCGCACCCGCAAGCACATGTTCGGACAACGCTGCATCTCCAGCCGGCTGCCGGCCCCTAGTGGAGATGAGGCTGAAGCCTCAGACCCAGCTGACGAGGAGGTCAGCCACATCACCAGCTCTGCCCAGCCCTGGCCCTTGGCCTCAACTCACAGCCTTGCAGCCTCCCCGGTGACCTCCCCTGTGGCCCGAGGGGTGGCAGGCAGCGCGCAAGACCTACGCAGGTTCTGCAGTGTGGACGCCCAGGGTTTCCTAGACAAACCAGGCCGGGTGGACATGCAGAGGTGGCCCTCCATGGAGCTGGGTAGCGGGGACAGCCACCTGGATCCCAGGGAGGTCAAGGCCTGGGTCCCTGAGCTCGAGCCAGCCCTGGGGGCACGCAGGAAGAAGAAGATGAGCCCCCCCTGCATTTCTGTGGATCCCCCAATGGAGGATGAGAGCTCTACCCGGCCCCCTGCAGCAGAAGGTGGCAGCAGCACCCTGCGGCGCAGGACCCCATCCTGCGAGGCTGCCCTGCACAGGGACTGCCTGGAGCCCACGGAGGGCCCAGGTGCAGGAGGGGACCCTGCAGCCAAGGCGGAGCGTTGGGGCCAGGCCTGCCGATCAGAGCATCTAACTGTGCCCAGCTTTGCCTTTGAGCCACTGAATGTGGGGGGCCCCAGTGGAGACCCTTTGCTGGACAGTGACCACAGTGGGACCCCAGAACCCACAGCTTCCTTCTCAGGGGCCACAACATCTCTAGAACCCCATGAAACAGAGCCACCCTTGCCCTCTGGAGATGCCCCACAGAAGGACCAGGAACTATACCTCACAGTTCCCCAAACCCCGCTAAAGAAAGCAGGGTTGCTCCCAGCCACCCCTGCCCTGGGTGACAGTGCAGATGGATCTGTGTAGCTGGGGCTGATGCACACAGGGCTTTGATCCTGGGACTGGGAGCATCCCACAGAGGGGCGCCCAAGCAGGCTGTGAGCAGACCCCAGCTTGCCCCTGCTGTGGACGGAGGGGCCTGGGAAGAACGTCAGAGCAGGGAGAAGGGTGGACACCCCTTCTCCACGCGTGGGGAGCAGCCTCTGGGTCCCACAAGCCTCCACCGTGCAGATTCAGTTTGGGGTTTTCCTGAGTTTTGCCACCACTGCCCGAGGTGCTGGGGACAGGAGAAAGACCGGCAGCTCCTCGACGGAGGCCCCACAGCTCTAGCCTCGCAGTCCACGTGACTGTGTAGGGAACACGCTTGGACCTCTCACCCTGAGGCCACTGCAGCCAACCCCACCTTTGCTCAGAGTCTGAGTCCTTATCATCCTTTGTCACCTCCAGTGCACTCCGTCCCCATGTCACTCCCTGCCCCATCCCCTGAGTGTTCCAGAAACATCCCCGGGACTCTGGGAATGGCCACGTCACCAGGGAGACAGAAGCCGCGCAATAAGACACCTGACCCTTCCCCATTGGGCCCTGTACATCCAGGATTTTTGGCCTGGGGATTCAGTCCTTTGTTTTGTTCCCTTTGTTTTATAAATCCAGGTTAAATGTTGCAATAATCTGATACAGAAAACTCAGCTTCTTAAGGGAAAAGGGAGGGCCGGGAACAAAGCAGAATAAACACTAACTTATTTAAGAGACTTCCTGTTGTGTCAGAGACAAGTCCTGGAGCTACCAGGGAGGGGCGAGCCAGGTTCTGTGCAGCCAGCACTTGGCCAGCAGCACCACCAGGAAGACCAGGAGAAAGAGCCCAGCCAGGAGAGGGGAGTCCTGGGTTTCCCAGCCCCAAGGACCCCAATTCTGGGGTGAGGAATTCACATGGGGATGTGGCTGTAGGCCCAGGCCCGTCAGGATGGATGCAGCCTCGCCCCAGCGGACCACGCCAGCCTGCAACCAGGTCCCATCCACCTGGCAGGCCTCCGGTCATCCTGGAGGGCAGAGCAAGGTGAGGGCCAGTGGTGGTTGGTGGGGAGTCTTGCTGGACTCCAGGCCCCAAGCCCTCCACTGTGCCCTAGGCCCACCTAGCAGGGTATGCCAGCACACAGCATGTCTGACCTGATAGTGCTGCTATCCATGCTGGGGTAGGACTGGCTGCAGGTCTCTGTGTCCACCATGCCTCCTACAGGCTGTATGGGGGCCACAGAGGCTCTGGGGATGGGGCAAGTTCGGGGGAGAATCGAGCACCAGCCCCCACACTTGCAGAGTGGGCAAGGAGCTGGTTCCTTGGTACATGCACCAAGGTTGGTGGGCCAATTCCCCTCTTCCCGCCATGGTCCAGAGGATGTCAGGGGGCTCCTTGCCTCCCTCCTGCATGTGATCCCAGCCCATCACTCAACACCCATCCCAGGGTGGAAGTCAGCTGAGACCTTGGGGAGGCAGGCAAGATCTGGCTGCAGGGGGTCACAAGGGTGACCAGTTGCACCAAGGCAATGTCCCTTCTAGACCCTGGTGATCCAGGGGAGTTGGAGTACAGGATAATTCACCTCATGGTGGAGACATTAGGAGACAAAGGTCTTCAGCTCTCCCAGGTGGACCTGGTAGTCACATGTATTCAAGGACCTGGAAGGGTGGGGTGGATGGGTGTGGTGATACCCCTCCTGTGAGGGCAGCCAGCTGCACAGGCAAGAAGTCCGTGTCCAGCCCACCAGACTCCACCCCATCACAATCCATGTCCAGCTCATCCCCCTCAGGCTTCAGGTGTGGAGGATTGACGGCATCTCGGGCTCCTGCTGCCTGAGCTGGAACATATCCAGAGGGGCAGATTGCAGATTTCAGCAGTGGGGAGAGAGGGAGCCACTCCCCACCTCCAGGTATACATAGACATGCAGAAGCTTCTTCCTATTGGCTAGGGTCAGGAAACTTCCAAAGTCAGTACCAGTCTGGTGGCCAGGAAGGCCTCAGAGCCCTGGGGCTGCCTGCTGCCATACCATAGTCCCCCTTGTTGCTGACAAGGACAGGTTCCAGGCTCAGAAGTGAGTCAAAGGTCAAGAGGAGTCCTCTGCACTGCCAGTGTGCCCACAGGCCTGGACATTCACACTGCCCCCACTCACCCTGGACACACCCAGAGAAGCTGTGGGCAGCAGTGAGCACCCACCACAGCAGAGGCTGGTCTACCATGGCCTCACCCCAGCCTGGGCAGCATGGCCCCTCACGATTTGGTCCCTGAATCTAAAACCTGAGACTGTCCACACCCTGAGCCAGAAGAGAAGGGGTGGCTGTTGGCTCTCCAGAGGCCAGCGTCCTGCCTGCTACCGCTTCCCCACTGCCCCTCCCATCTTCCAGGGGGTCTCCCTCTTACAACTTCAGTTCCCCACCTGCTGGGCCCTCCCTGGAGAAATGACACCCCAGAAGCCCATGTGCTGGTTTCTAAGTACCATGATCCACACATTGTAGCAGGGCCCCTTGGAGTGACAGGGGGCTGGACCAGGGCAGGCACCCCAGGAATCAAGAGGGGCTCAGAATAATAGGAAATAGGAAGACCCAGGTAGCGGGGGAGGGAGGGAAGGCTGGTTGGCCAAGCAGGGCTGAGAACTAGACAGAGGTGGCATCACATTAACTGGAAACTGTGCCGAATGCCCCCAAATTCTGCGCTATATCGTGGTTAGAGTCTTCTTGCGTAAGTTTCCCCTCAGATGTTGGTAAAGGCTAAGTCCCTGAGGTCAGCATGCAGGGTCCTCCCTGGCCAGCTCTGGGTCAACTTGAGCTTCCACCTAGTGGCAGCAATAGATGACAACGTGGTCAACCAGTGAGACGGGAAGCTGGTGCAGGCTGGTGGGAATGGCCCCTGCCCAAGCAGGAAAGTCATTGAGGAGGAAGGGGACAGTGTAGCTGATCCAGAGCTGGTGGTGCCTCTGAGCCACAGCTGTGCTGTGAGGCCAAAAGTATCTGCCAAAAATACAAACTAACCACCCAGGGGACAGAGGCCCCTTCACAGGGCAGCTCCCAGCAACCCCTCAGCCAGGACACCCAAGTGCATACTCCAGCATGTGGCCTCCCTGGGCCTCCAGGCACCACCTGTGACAAATACCCTGTCCCCCCTGAGCTTTTCCCACCAGTCCTCCCCTCCACTCCCCACACACCATTTGAGGACATACCTGGCTGCAGAACCTGATGGACACCTTAGGGACAAACAGAAGACAGGCCTGTGATGAGGGAAGGGCTGTCAGCACGGCAGGCCCAAGAGATGCCCTCCAGGCCCCAGGGTGAGGCTGGGGTGGAAGTCCCCATCCCAAGCTGAAGCCAAGATCCATCTGGCCTGGCAGGTGGGGCCAGAGCAAATGGGCTGGTTGCCAGTTGTCCTCCGAAGCCCAGGGCAGGGAGAAACCAGCCACAGGCCATAAACAGCAACTGAGAGGCACAGCACTGCCCAGCCCCAGCCTGCCTTGTCCCTCCAGGTGCCCCTCAAGGGGGAACTTACACAGTACCCCCTGACCCTGTGCGCTGGCCCAGGCCTGATGGCCAAGGAGCACACCAGGACCTGAGAGGAAGGGCTCAGCCTCCTGAAGCACCACACTTCCTGCTGGGGCTGCTGGCTCTCCGGGCCCCCAGGACCAAGCATGTGGAGCCAGGACAGTCCTGGGCTTCCCGGCCCCTAGCCCCCTAATTCTGGGGTGAGGACCCCGTTCACATAGGAATGTGGCTGTAGGCCCCAGGCTGGTAAGGATGAACGCAGCCTCGCCCCAGCTGACCAGCTTTAGTTCTGTATTTAATGGCAAGTACAGGAGCCCCAAGTGACCAGAGAGTACTGGGTCCACCAACACCAGCCAAGATGCAGACATCCCCCAGCAATGCCACCATCCTCACACCTAGGCTGGGACACACACCAGGCACAGCAGGAGGCCACGGGTCTGAGGACTGTGGTGTCTGCCCACTGCAGGGACAGGATAGTTGACCCTGAGGCCTGGACCTGTAGGGTGGTGGGGGACAGCCACACACCTGTGTACAGGGCAGGGAGTGGGGAGGAGCAGAACAGGGCTCCACCAAAGGCCGCACCTGCTACTGTATCTCCATGTGGACACTACCCCAGGGAACAAGCTTAGTGACACAGAGAGACCACACAGGGACAGGATGGGACCTGGGCATCCCTGCAAACCCAGACGGTGGATTGGGTCCTTGCCACCTTCTCCAGGAAGCCCTCCCTGGATCCTGCAGCTCACACCTCCCCAGAGAGCCTCTGGGAGCCCTGCCTTTGGGGTTCTCCTCCTGAGACCCAGAAGCCTGGGGGAGACAGCTCAGGACTCCATGATAACCTGCCCTCCAGGATGTCCTGTCCTCACATCCGTCCTCGGGTCCCATGCCTCCAACACAGATCAGATGGGCAAAGCCCCCCAGCTGCCCAGACCACGCAGGGCTTCCTGTCTGGCTGGGACCTGATGACTGAGCTGACTACAAGCCCCGGGCCCAGCCTGGGACTTTCCCATCCCCTCCCCAGCCCCATGCACAGGCGGGGGTTGGAGGGCCCCACCAAGAACCCCAGGGCAGGACCCCTCTTAGGAGTGGGGAAACCGAGGCAGGGTGGCAGTCGTCTGAAGGTGCAGCAGGCTGTGGCTGTGCGAGGCCCAGGCCCAGCACCCCTCATGCCAGCACCTGGTCCTGGCTGAGGCTCAGGGTGCATGGTAAGGGTCTGAGCTGGGATGGTGAGGCAAGGAGTGTGTTGGGTGGGGCCCAGCCTCCCTCAGATGGACCACCCCTGGGAGGTGGCCGCTGGGACAGGGAGTGGGACCTGCCTGGTCAGCACAGCACAGGGAAGAAGGGTGGGGTCCAGGTGTGCCCAGCCCAGGCTGCCTACCCAGCGCACAGCAGCCTCACATTGCCCAGTGACGGTGGGGTGCAGGGTCTTCAGGGAGCCAGATCCGCTGAGACCTGACCCCCAGGAGGGGACTTCAGGAACCTCACCTTTCCCAGCTCAATATTTGGGG